TTTCCTACCTGGAAATATGTAGGTACTTGATGCTCTAGGTATATATAAATATGCACAATATTGCATAATTACAATCATATACTTAATTTGAATGATGATTCTCCGTCGTTCCGGTCCTCATCTTTTAAGCTCACCCACAAAACACCAGTCATGTGTCTCGAGAGCTTCTGATTAGTCTCAGAGTGCCTGTCGGCTTGAAGGAAAATCAAGGCCGCTGGTGGAAGTACAAGTCACTGCGAAATCACTGCACTGATGCGACCCGCCTGTTCCACCCTCAGGCTGATCATGACCAGAGGCTCTCGACAGCTGATTTCCTCGGCTTGAACATGCTTGTTCAGAATCCACAGCACAGCAATTGAATCTAGAACCCCGTGAAAGAAAAGGTCAAATGTGACCAGTGAGCAGGCACAAAAACCTGGGCCTTTGGTCTACACATGTCTACACAGTCTATGCTACACTGAGTAGCTTGCTTAGAAGATTGCCTTCGGGCGTTCAGGGATTGCAATCTTCCCTCCCGAGCCCAGGCGTCACATGAGGCCAGGCACCTTTGGCTCACATCCTGTCGTTCCCCTCTGGAGTCAAATTCACAACAAATTTCCCGAGGCTCAAGTCCTCTTTTCCGTACCTCAGCTCGGTCGAAGCGGGGCCTTGTACCAGGTATCACCCCAGCATCCCAGCCATTGTTTCCGTATAGGCCCTGTCACCAAACCCTCTGAACTGCAAAAAAAATACAATCAAATTGTTTTCCAATGTTTTCCCTTCAGTAGCTCTACGTACTGTGGTTTTGGGAAGAGCAATCGACCTCTGGGATAATTGCAAAAAACAAACGAAAAAGGAAACAGTCCCCCTCCATATGTACCTGAACCCCTCTGATACCTTGTTTGGTAGGACAAGACAAGTCCATATTCTGGATGGTTGGTAATTACCGCAAAATTAGGGTCAGTGAGTCACTCAGCTTCAGTAGCTACCTGGTTGGTTATTGACCCGGTGTTCAGCGCAAACGGCGGCAAATCAGTGCAAACGGCAAAACTACCGCAAATTGGCGCAAAACACAGGCAACAGCAAACAACCACAAACATCCGACAAAAAAGAACAACACACACAATCGAAAACGACGAAAACGACCATAAGACCAATTCCATAGTTTTTGGATGTTTTGGGGTTGGAAGGTCCAGGTAGGTAAAAACTGATCCATTTCAAATACGAGCAAGTCTGACTGCAACTGCTGCTCATCTGCAAAAAATATGCTGGGGAGGCCATTTGTTGGAAAATGGACGTACACCTAATGATGGATGACTGGACCTCTTCACCTGCCAGGCGTACACCCACCCACACTGGGAAGAGTGTGCCCATCCTTCCATGCCCATCTTCGCCCAGCTGCTTGTTGCCCTCCAAGCCTTGCCACGGCTCCAGCCAGTGCATCCGCGGATCCACCCGAGCACCCTCAGGATCCACGAAGGGCGCTGGTGCAGGCAGCAATCGCTTGGCAAGCTCTGGGGGCATGCGACCACCTGCGTGGTCAAGAAAGGTTTGATGAAATCGCATGAACACACTAAATCATCTAACTCAATCCGAACGGGTTCGTCATCTTTACAGGAATGAAGCTCGATGTGAAGTTTGTTTCACAGTGCGAACAAAAAAAACCTGCAAAATCAATGTTGTGTCCAGTCAAACAAGTGACTCCAAAAATCAAACATGTCCAAACTGACCCGTGTTGGAAATTTAATCGTACCATCTCAGTACTACTCAAATTACTCAGTTCATAAATGTCAATCCTGTGGGCACCTTGATCATATACTCTTTAGATGAATCTGAAAGGTGCCTTTTTGGTCACGAATCCTTTCAGATCCTTTCAGCAAACGTTAATGAACACGTCCCAAATATACTGTGCACACAATACTTTATTTTCAAAACATGACTTATAAATTATATAAATTATATATATATATCATGTCCACGGGCCTGAATCTTTGATCACCTTGGCAATCAACGACATGGAATCTTGTTCGTTGTCCTTAGCACACAAATCAACTGAATGCCAATTCCATTTTGTGGTAGCACCAACAAGAACTGAATCATCGGTGAACACCCACCATTGGCCAGACCTCAATGCTTTCTGCACTGTGCTTTTTTCGGGAACGCACCGAAGGAAACACCGAATGGAACGCCCGACGAAACGCCCATTCTGCGGCCAGGAATCGGTCAAGATCGAGACAGCCCAACCGTGAGCATTCCTCCCGGTCCGGCCGATACGGTGGACATAATCCTCGGCCGAGCGGGGCATGTCGTAGTTCACCACCAAGTTGACCTCCTGGTGAAGCGAACCGTTTCGCCAGTTTCGCTTTCGCTTTGGCTTTCTCCCGGCGTTTTTTTTCTTTCTGTATAGTCTTTGATGCAAATTTCAGCAAAGCATTCAGGCATCGTCCACACCACATGATGTCCCGTTGTGTCTCCTTCACGTCAATGCCCCGTCCAGCAACGTCCGTGGCCAAGAGCACCTTCACAGAAAGCACACCACGGGCAAGTGGATCGGTGGATGAAAAGCCAGGCTTGGGGGCCGACGTTGAGTTGGGTAGTGGTTTGTATATGTTTGTGTGGGCCCTCAATTCAGAGTATTGTAGATGGCCCCTCAAAGAGTTTATGCATGATGTACCAACTCTGAAACCACTGAGGATTGCATGCATGCATGCATCGCGGACAAAATCATTCCAGGCTTGAAGAGATCCACATGGAATTGAGCAAAGCCTCACGACTGTTGACAGGCGACGTGGGGTCATGAGGTCATGCAAGCATCAGAGTGTGCAAATGATTGAATTAGTTTAGATTTGCTTCAGGAACCTTTCAACTCTTTCAAGGTCAAAGAACAAACATCACAAAACCTTGTAGAGATTTGTAGAGGAATTCGCCAGGAAGTTCCCTGTGGACAAAAGAAGCTCGACCAAGTCGAAAGCAGCTGGGACGCTCACCCGCGAGGGTAAGGAAACACGTATCCAAATGAACCAAGTATTATGTAAATGGACTGTATGGACCTGTTTGAGGATCGCCCTTTTTCCGCTCCCACTGTTTTTCCTTTTCGACGCCGACAGAAAACCCTCACTCTATACTCACATCGCCTAAACTCTCTGAGACTGAGACTTCAGTGTCCTTTTTCTTGCACTCCCCCAACATTTATCTGATCCTTTTTCTTTCCAAGTCTGTTTGCATCGACATCTCTCCCCGCCTGCGTGGCGCCTGAGCGGAAGCGCTGCAGAGCGGCTTCCCGGTCCCTCTGGCTGCGGTCGCCGTGGAGCGCGTCCACGGCGAATGGCAAGCGGCCTGGGCCAGGGTCAAGCGATGCTGCGCCAGTGGAGGGTGTCGCCGGGCAGAAGTCTAATCTGAAAAAGGACCACCATCAAAGAAGTCACTTTAAGGTGAATAGACCTGCAAAAGGTTTATAGATGACTTACCAGGTCTTTGAAGGAACAGGTTTTTGCTTAGGAGCCATGTTCTATGGCCCGTCTCTACTAGCAGTGGATGATGGTTAGCAAGCACCTCCATTTCAAGAAGGGATACGCGGTGTTCTGGGCACGTCGCCAAACAAGTCCTGTTCTTCTCCCAAGTTGCCTCTCCACGAACTAAATACTGTTAGGAGAACCTCCTCACCGCCCCAAATCCGCCACATCCGCCCTTCAGCTCCCAGTTCCTGTGGTTTCTTTCAGCTGAGTTCCGAGGGCTCCGGCCCAATCCGCCCAGCGGCCCCGGCCTCGAAGGCCGCGCTCCAGCTGTTGACCTGACGAGATCTGTCGTGCGAACGGCTCCCCCGACGACCTCTGAAGAGCTCGGTTTTGGAGGAGCCCGGTGTGTCTGCGGAAGGGATGGGCCTTGACATGCCGTGAAGCCCCAAAGAACATGGAATATGTATTACTATATTATATTATTGTTGAACATATATTGAAATATATTGAACATCCTCCAGTTTCCACAAAACCGGTCATTGAGCCACAGCTTTGAGCACTCCATGCCGCCATGCAGCTTTTGGGATAATGGAGGTGTCGGGGGGGTGACACACTTCACTCGCTTGCTTGGAGCCCGATCGCAAATTTCAACAAGGGGCATTGCAAAACATACCAACCCCCACAAAAATTACTCAAAATGCCACATGGGTGCTTTGAAGGCAAATGTTTGTCTGATCTATGCTATAGTTTACCCTACAAAGCATGTTGATCCATTTATTTTCATGATGGTTTTAGGGGGTCATCCAAGCGGTTTTGAATGGCATTGGTCGGGTTCACATGATTCACATTCGGGCTGGACCTTTCACTGAGCTCTTGACAGGATCGTTTGGTGGCAATGAAAACCATGGCGCGCAAGGGGCGCTTCTTCCCTCGCCTTGGGGGAAAGCGACATCCACTGACGACGTCCACTGGTACAAAAAAATCACCCATCTTGGAGAAGGATATATATACTAGGGTGAGATGACTTAGGCCAATTGGGTCGAAATGACATACAACTTTCCCAGGGCAAGTCCTAAGTCATGTACAAATGTTATACAGGGCAATTTCATTGGCACACACTGATGACATAGGCCTTGTTGACCTGGTCCTGAGTTCTTTTTTGGGGGGGGTTGGTGGGGGGCATGCTCCTGGAAGATTAGAGCTAATGAAAGTCCACATGTCATAGGAACATCTTTTGCTTCATCTGAAGCGATGGACTGTAATGACATAGGAAAATAGCTAAGAAATAAAAATTGACTAGCTACTTTTTCTACACCTTTTCTCCTCTCCCCGGCCCCCTGTCTCTGTGTCTATTTCCTTTACGGGGGGGGGAGAGCGGTGAGCGGCAGCGGTCCGGATGGGGTAGGCCGTTTTTTTCTTTTAAGGTGAGGGCCAGCAGGAGGGCTCCGTGGTGCTAGAGTGAAGCGGCCCCTCACTCTGCACTTAGCAGGTAGCCTTAGGCATCCTTGGCGCTTCTGCCGATTATGCGCCATGGATGTCGACCTTTAGGCCATTTTCTTTTCCTTTGCCGAGGGTGGTCTTCTTCACAACCTTCAAGTCTGTGTATTGGCATTGGTACTGCTATAGGGCCTGCTTTGCACACATGGAAGGGAAGAGATGGACGATGTGCCAAGATATGGTTGCGCAGGTGGCATCCAAAGCGCTGTGGGAGAACTTTTGCTGCTTGCGTTTTGCAACTGCATTGAGGTTTTCTAGTGCGTTGGGGCAGAAATGCGGCACACACTGCTTGGCACACATGTGGATTGCTTGTAGGCTGGTGATGTCGCACCACGCGTTGGCAATCTGCAGGGTGGCTCTTGCTGGCATTCCGCTAGTGAGGCAAAAAGACACTGATCGGCATGTAGGTCAAGGTTTTATGGCGAGACAATGGGTTAGCCACTGGAGCTTCTGTTTTTTGGGCTTATTGCAGCCTCAACTATCAAGCTTTTGCGTGGCCACGACCAACATGGAGAATACTGCTCCCGTATGTGATGCTCGGTACAGCTGGAGCAAAAGCTCTTTGGGCCTTGTTTGGAGCTTGGTTGCTCACCAGGCCCATCTGGATTGCTCGACAGGCTCCGTGTTTGCTGGATTGGGTTTTATGGGGCACATGGGTACCCGCTTCCGGGCATTGACAGGTTCTGCCGCAAGGGTGCTCACTTCCCTGATGGATTGTTGGTTCCATCTGGTGATAGGCTTCTGCATGAGTGATTGGCGGTCTCCTCTGCATGAGGCTTTGCAGCAAAGTTGCTTGTGCCATAGCTACGGGTGGCAACAAAGCGACTGTAGACGATATGGAGCGGCAGTCCCTTCACCTTTTACTTTGACCGCTGAGGTGCTTTGACTGCCACCATGGCTCGAGTAGAGTGAAAATGTCAGCCGCGCATGGGGTGGGGCATACAATTTGTTCCTGGGATTCGGCTCACTGGACGCATGACTCTACCCCCGCGGAATTGACGTTGTGGTGTGTCACTGAAACTGCAGGCCTGGCCAACCAATGCGGGGTTTCCGGTGATGCGCGTGGCGCTGGAGCTCTAATCTCCGTTTTCCGGGGATGAGTTACGGGCCATGACCTCCGACGACCATTTTGGTAGGAGGGTTGAATTCATTCCTTTGCATCTCGCCATTGTGGCTTTTGAGATGCAGTGCCTGCAGTTGCATAATACCAAGAACCAAGAGCGGAGACGCTCAGTACTTGCGAAAGGAAAGGAGGGCCAGCAGGGGCCTCAAAGACGGGCCACCGAACTTTACGGGGGGAGACCGGTGAGCACCCCTCAGGGCCCAACACCGTTCCTATCTCATTACTATCAGATAAACAGTCTGCCTTTGTGCGTTTTTGCTCTCAAATTCCTATCTCTCGATGGTTTATTCATTGTTTAGATACCAAAGTCGTATGTCATGATGCTTGTCAATATAAAATCAACTGTTTTTAGGATCTTTGATGACAACCTCTGGCATCTCTGATTTTGAGGTTTTTCCAAGCTTTTGCTTCATGACATAAATACTTGTGGGGGGTAGGCTAAACCTTCATGACTTAGCCGCCGCAATTTGGAGGTAGTTTTCACAAGTCCTTTGTCATTTCAGGTAAGTATATATGTGCTTGCATTTTAATAAGGACCCCCCCAACCAATCCCAACCAATGGGTTTTGGTTCTGTTCCCTTAATGCACGATGTCCAATACCAGCAGCCCACTCTACAGTCTTTCTCTAGGCTTGACAGGATCGCTTGGTGGGTGGCGGCGGCCGACCTGTTGGAGTTTATACATCTGGAGGTGACTGCGGCAGTCATGTTTCAAAATTGTGACTCCACAGCTTCTGCCTTTCCCCCATGCAAACAGCCGCCAACATGTTCTTCTGAATTGGAGAACCCTACGCCCTACGCCTAAAATACATTTAGCAAGTCCTTGGAGGAACTATTCAAGGCTATTTTCGTTCACGGAGGGAAAACCGCGCGTTTGTCTATGTGACCGGAGTCCGGTGTGGTTTCTCGTCAGGGCGAGGGTCACCGGGCGCGCGGGCCCGTGGGCTCGCCCCGGCGCCCGGATCCAGCTTCCTATCCGTCGAACGATTTCTCGACCTTCCGTGCAGCGCCATGGCCATTTGTTGGTGGCTGCCATTGGCTGTTTTTGTTTTTTTCGAAATCGAGAAAGGCGCCTCCTGTGAGCTCTGAGGTATCGGGTGAACTCTGAAGTCTATTATGCACCAAAGATCCCAAAGACAAGAACACTTATGATGCCAGCACCTTCAAGGGAAAACGATGGAATCATCTAGGTCGACAAACACAAACAAATCTCCGTCCTTGGGGATCGGGTGTCCATGTACTGTCTTGCTGGCGCCCTTCAACCCCTTCAGTGCAAGCGACATTTTTGCCTTTCATCCGTCCACCTCCCCCACCACCCTGTGGATCCCTCAGATTAGCGAGGCGCAAGAGGGCTGCCAGGGCTGCAGGCTTTTCGTAGTCGTCCCGCAAAATCATCACATCCTGAAACCATCCCGTGAGAAGCAGGAAACACCAAGAACACTCCCACGAATCACATCACGAAGTGGAAAAATCACCCGGATCTTCGTAGCATCGTAGAACGGAATTTTTGTCATGTCGGTCCATGTTGCGTCTTCGATCACGTGAGTCTAAGGGCCTCGATGCATATATCACGACGTGACACGGTGGGGTCAGAACCGGTTCCGACCAGAAGTCGGAACGCGCACGCCTGGGTGACGTTGGGATTCGCGCTGAAGGCGCCCCGGCCGCCGATGCGCACCTCTGGTGACGTGGAACTTTGAGTTCATGATGATCAAGGTTCACTCCTGTTCACTCCTTACATCAATGCTCAAGTCACGAACTGGAGGTCATTTCTGGAAGCAAGTATGAGTCTGATTCAATCAAATCTTTCTAAGGATATATGAATCAATGTGATGACTCGTGTAGGTGTCTGAAAGGTTTTTTTATGGTCAACAAACTGACCAATTGGGCTTGCATCCAGTCATCCCATCATAACTCCATGATGGCTTCTCAATGCTTATCATTACGTAAGCGGCTTACTAGACCAACCGGCAACCTAGGGGCACGCATCGATCTCGTTTGGAGAGACACGCCACACCGCCACGTCCAACCTCCACGGGGTCCGTCAGCACTTCCTCGGCGAAGTGTTGCACCGCTGCTGGCCACGTGGCCGAGAAGAGCAAGGTCTGCCGCTGAGGCGTCGGCCGCGCCTTCGTCCGGAGTCGAACAAAAAGATCCTCTTGTTACTACGTAGTAGCGTCCTTGCTCCTAGTAGCGATGCCAGGAGCCCCTAGTAGCTTCTTGTTACTAGTTGCTTTGGGCAAAATCAAAACACAAAAGTCTGATGTTTGTATCGCAAAGTGACCAGAAGACATTGGTCAAGGATATTCAAAAACAACAAAAAACATCCTCCATCCTCCAGGATTCAACTGGGAAACTCAAAGAGATACAAGTACCAAGTCCGGTAAACAGGACTGGAAATAAGAAATGACTATCACCAGCACCACTTAGTCTATGATGCGATCCGCGAATTAAATCATGATGGGATCCGTGACAAAGGAACCATCCTGTGTTTGGCCGCAAGTGAAGTCTTCCACCCTCTTCTGGGAAAGGCTGGAGGGTATTCACCTTCTTCAAGAACAAAGCTAAGGAGCGATCGAGCATCAGCTTAGCACTTGCAACTTGGAGCCCTTGAAAGGACAAGGACATTCATTACATTCCATTGTGCACTCATGTCACCCGTACGCTGCTTGTCACCATCCAACGAAGACGGCAACGGGGTAGACGCCAACGCGTCGGTCCCGGAAGACGCCGGGCCTCCCTCAAGATCTTCCGCACCTGCGGCTCCTGGAAACCGCCAAACCACGACAGGGAAGGTTACCATTTTTCCCATTCTGTTCATATTTTGCGGGAAACCAATCCTCCAGAAAAGGTTAAGGTTATCCACTGACTGGGTAGGTTTACAAAGCTGTGAAATAGACATCTGGCAGCATCGTAGAGCACCACAAACAAACATGAAACTGCATGAAAGAGCTTTGTGTGCTTTTTAAATGTTTTTTGGATACCTGGGGTGGTATCTCATTCTTGAGGGCGACATTGCTGGGATGGGCACTTACAAACTGAACATAGAACTAGGTCATCTTCCTGGCCACTTCCTACCAAATGAGTCAAATTATGAGGGTGATGCACCAGCATGTAGCGATCCACACCTGATGCAAGTATTTCCTGCTTTTGCTCCTGTTCCCTGTCCCCTACAAGATTGTTCTTTCTTCTCGGCATTTCCCCAAATTGATAGACAACGACAACATACCACAACTACTTGATGTGCATTGATCGCCGTGCCAACAAAAATGTCATGGTATGTCATGGTTTGTTTGGTGGGTGACCTTCCAAACATTGTGGAGACGGCGACCTGCAACTACCTTCCGGATACAAATGTGTTTGGTTGTGTGGTGGTTTTCTGTTGTTGTCCATCTCTGTTGAATTTGGCAGAGTTCCTCCACCAGTGCAAGCGCAGCCAAGGAACGAAACCCTCACTGAGCATCCGATCTGCTTCGTCTAAAACGAGCATCCGCAAATGTCCCAGGCAAAGTACCCGTGGCTCCTCCTGGCAACCAAACTGGTGGAGCAAGCAAGCAATTGGGGTTGCAAAAGTGTGAGTGATGCTTGGTCTACAGGGCATCGATTGAAACTGAAATACTGCATCACTTCACACTGGGATAGTATCTTCCAACCATACATCCCGAGGGATAAAGGTGTTAGAACATCAATGAGGATCGCGTCGAATTAAGAAGTCGTTGCGTGGCCAGTGTGGGATGGTCAATGACCCTCTTTTTGGTGTACACTAAAAGAGAAGCTACTAGGTGGAGGCCATCGCCAGGTTGGAGGCCATCGCTACTAGGTTCGAGGCCATTACTACTATTCACAAGAAGCTACTAGTAGCAAGGTGCCTCACTAGTAACAACCTACTTGTAGGCTTGGGACCTCGGAGGAAGCAAAATCGACCGCGTCAGGCTAAATGTCTGGCAGGATTCTACGGTGAAAGGGGAACTGAACACTTGTGTATAACAATCCATGGTTGTTCTATTCACTTTGGGTCTATCCTAGCAACAGTGGATGATGATGGTTAGTGAAAGGCCTTTCTCTATAGTAGTGAAAATCAAACGTTGACAACGTGTGTCGACAGATGCTGAAAGGCTGTGAAGAGGGTATGTTAGCAACAGTCCGCAAGGATAAGTATTGCAAATCCTCCAACATGGACACGGCCATGTTAGTTTATGCCGGGGAACATTCACCAGCTTCATGACTCTGAAATGGCACAAGTGGTGTCTGGCACGAGGATATGTTAGCAACTAGGAGAAGCATGGAAAAAGGTTCCATGACCCATGCCCTGTGACACGGCCATGTTACTTTGTGTTTGGCACGTGCAAAGACTAACATAGCCATCCAAAATGGGCATTGAGTCTTCCAGAAATGCACAATTCTTAGTCGCAAGGACTAACATAGCCCTCTAAAATGGTCATGTGGTTGACCAAAATTGCAAACTTTATGGTTGCTCCAGGCCAGGATAGCAGTGTTTTTGGACCTTTTCTTGAAGCTACCGAAAGAAGAAGTTACATGCAATTCCACAGGAAACACCGGAGAGGTTTTGGATATTGGGAATCTTTAGCTGCCAAGGGTGCGTTTGATTTGGGGAGAGTAATAGGACAAACCCAACACTGTATCAGTTCTCCAAACGAAAAACAATCCCTTTTGCTATCATTTGCTTGCTTCAACCGTCTCCAAACGAAATGACCGGGCCTGATTCACCCGTGTGTACCTTCCACCGTTTTCTGCTCGTCCCGTCTCGCCCGTCTCCTCCAGCAGTTCCAAAAGCCTGGCTGTCGGATGGACTCAACAAGTTGGCCGAGGCCCAAGAATGTAGATTAGGCATTTTTCCACTGTAATATGACTTTAAGGACTATAAGAACTGACTAAGTACTAAATTTAACAGTACCCAATCGCTCCAAAGCATGCAAATATGACTAACATTCGACAGCGTCATCATTTTTTGAGTACATTGGTCATATCATCCCAATGTGGCCTGATTTGGTGCACATTCAATTCTTTGAATTTCCGATGACGTGCATGCAACCATTCCAGGCCACCACTCCAAAGTCATTGCGACATTTTCCCTCAAAACTGCTCTGGTCACACCGGCCATTGTTCCTTCATGCCCGGGTTTCTCACTCTCAGCAGGAATCTCAGAACTGTTCGGAGCTCCAAAGTCGCGCCTCATGGGAGCTGAGTGTCATATCTTTCAATAACTGCAGGGGCATCTTCCACACATAATTATTCCTTGGAAAATACAAAAATGCATTCAAAAGTCAACTAGGGCTCGGTGGACTTGCTTCACCAGTCTTTTCATTTGTCCCATGAAGTCTTCGTCTCCATAACAGTGGTTTGCTCCTTACTGGCAGGGGACAAACACATTTCATCCGTTTTGCGTGGTCAAGGCATCTTTTTGGGGTGAAGCTACCCGGCTTTGTGTGTGTGTGTGTACCAAGCATCGAGGAGACTCTTTGAAGGCCAACATTTCATGCAGGATTTCCACAAAAGCCTAAGTCGGTTGCAACTGCGTGGAACTATAGTGTTGCTAGTCCAATTTTACCATCTCTTGATTTCCTTTTCTTGCGCCATGGCGCATGGACTTTTGGCTTGAGCGGATACCTCCGGCTTCTAAGCTGCACGTGATGGACAGCCAGGAGTTTGTATGTTCTCAAAAACCTTAGGCCGATGTTGCTCCCAACAAGGGGCGCACTGGATCTAAAGCATTTTCCCCGCTCGTTTGTTTATCAGGGTTGGGGAATTAACTTTGGGTTTGGATGTTGCCTTCGAATGGTTTTGGCACAGCAAAAAAAAACAAGTCGACTATGTGGTCAAGCGGCTCCATACCCTGGTCGAACAGAGTCTGCGCTTCACGATCTGAGAGTTTGTACGGTGCTTGTTCCAAGCAAAGTGACCAATTGGCCAGCTGAGCCGTTGCCGTTGTCACCAGGGCTAAGTCTGGGGAAGCCTCTCCAGCTTCCGTACGCTCTTGGTAAAGCCCTTTGAGGACTACAGCTAAAAATGCAGTCATGATTCTAGAGGAATAAGCCTTCAACCGCAGCTCTGCAAAATCCTCCACATGCAAGTGCCCCTTTGTGATGATGGGTTGCCCATGATGTATTCCATGAAGGGAGCACCACATGTGGAAACGGTGCGTTAGGTGTTCCATTTTCTTGTCAACTCCACAAACATTTCCTTAGCAAGGGCCAAACATAAGCCAGGTACTCTTTGGGAGTTGGTGACATATTTTGGAGAAGGTTTGGGGAAATGTTGGTCCCTTGCTCCCCTGCAAAGACAAAATGCTGCATCTAAAGAAACCCACCCAGCAACCGAACCAGCCGTTCTCGTCCAGGGTAAGCCAAGCCCCGCCATTCAAATGATGGCAAAGTCCAAGATGAAGAGTGTGCATTAAGCAATACTTTACCATTGTTGGCTGCCACCCGACCGCCATACAAATGGGGCTGATGTAGTCTTTCCTTAAGACAAGTTATTGAAAGCCCAAATCTGGAGTATTGTCATACAAGTACCTCTGACAACCCACATGGGTACCAGGATGGTATTAGATTGTCACACCGCAAAAAAGTACTACACCATCACATCAAGGAGTCAACGCTACAGAAAAGAACTCCGATGTCGACAGCCTTGGAACCGATGTGTAGTCCTCCACGTTCACATACCTAGGTCGAGTTGTTCAGGTGGCCGGCAATCATCGCATACGCGTAACTTGAACCTAACCCCGAAAACAACTTGACAAGTTCAAACAATCTTTGTCCAAAGCTTTGGCACTAGGCACGAATAAGGTCCATAAACAGCATTGGCTTTGCACTTGAAGCACACCCCCTGTTTCCGGCGCCAAAAGTTCTTCATATCAAAGATCTCCTTCAACCATTTCCAGTCACCCCTCAGGGGTAGAAGCAGGAAATTGACATCATGTGCAACAGACCGTGTTGAAACAATTCAAACATTTCATCCTGGTTGTGGGCCACCCAGACCTCACTTCAGTCAGGCAATAAGGCCCACCGGCTATCGGACTCCCGGCACGAAGCGCGCGTGCACCACTCAACGCGTTCCCCTCCCAATCTTTGCTTGGAAAGCGCCCACTGTAGGCGACCTTATGGACCAGCGTAAAGACAAATTTTAGAGTGATATGCTCAATCAACCAGCGCCCCCCCCCGCTCAAAACAAACAGTTAAGAAGTAACAAGTTGCAGGCTAAGTTTCGTTCAGACTCCAGATGATAGCCCTGTACAGGGGGTCCAACGTCCCGACACCCAAACTGAGCTCGTGCCGCAGGCAGAACAGGAGGAACCGTCGGTTTACCTTCAACTCACCTTGCAGTCCCAACAATCGGAGCGCAACAAAAATAGGGGGCTGGGAAGAAAGACAACAACAAAAAAGGGAAACTTGTTCATACCCAGCTAACCCAATGACCATCCACCGGTGCAGCAGCTTCATGGCATTGCCGATCAACAAGTATACTGTTGAGGCACACAACAATCACTTTGGCACCTGCCAGGGAATACTTGGCATCATCCCCAGCCAACCCCAGTGGGGTGTGTTTCTTTTCTACTGTAGCAAAGTGAGCCGGACACGAAGAGTTGTGGTGCATCGACGCCCAGGACGAGATCTATCTCTGATGGGTACAGTGATGAAGACCGGTTCCTTAATCAGTACAGATAGAACATGGTTGATATACACACAACTAGTAGCAGTTCTTTAGTTCTCCCACATCTTAAAGGGCATCATCAACACATTGCCAGCAATCTCCAAGAGTCTATAGGGAGCTCTAGGATCCTGAAAAGGTCTCGTTCTGCATTCTGAGGAAAAGCACCAGCACCACCAATCCGGGCCAGTTTCTTAGTCAGCTGGGAACAATGACCTCCAGACTCCCTCACCATGGCCATAGCTGCGGTTTGCAAACCAGACACCGATGTCGCCCCTTTGCCAAGCGTCGCGAGGAGAAAGTCGGCAAATTCAGACGACTCGGATGTACCTGCACAGGCGGATTGGCGAACGGGACAGGATTTCATGCATCCACAGCCAAGCTTAGCGCGACCACTTTTTTCTTTCATGCGGTTCTTGGTCATCCATCTGAGCTGCTCTCTCGCAGCTCGGCAGGAGAGCGACAGCCATCAGCCCCAAGGTTCATGCCAACCCTGGCTGGTTCCAAACACATGTGCTTCTTTCCCACCTACACGTGCACACACATATGTTGTCACAGATAGTACACACCCGCCAGGGAAACCAAGGCCGTCCCTGAGGATACAAAACTCCGACATCTCCCCTGAGCGCAGCGCATCGCTATGTCGCACTGGCTGCATGAAAAAAAGAAGGTTCGAAACAATCAAGGTTGCTGAACACTTCAGCAACTACATCCTTTTCGCAGCCAGTGCTTCCCCTTGCGTTGGTCAGGAAAGGTCATCATGAGGCTTTCCATGGAAGGTGTCATGAGGAAAACGTTGCCTTTACTTTGCCTGCGCTTTTGCCCCAGCCTTTGGCTTAGGTTTGGCAGTGTGCTTTTTGCAGTGCCGGGCAGCAATCCGGTAATCTGCAATTTTCAACACTAAGTTCTGCGAGCGGAGAAGCACATCCTCGTCTTTACCCCCGTTAGCGACACAAGTTTCCAACTCAAGTCGCAAGTTTTCCAAGGGTGCGAGAAACTCATTGCAAGCGGCCACCAAAGCACTCACCACCTGGGATGGCCTCCGGAATAAAGTTCAAGCGCACCCAAACATGTACACGGGTGAGTAGGATAACCTGAAGAAGATAAGGCCCAAACGCGTTAGCGTCCTCAAGCTTTGACTTCCACGATTTGCACTCAAGGATCGCATCCGATGCATCCTTCATCGCCTCGCCATGTACATGTATATGGTACTTATAAACACTAACTCCGAGGCAATCACAGCTTTTAAGCCTAGAAACCTTGTTTGCCTGCTGGGTAGCAGTCTTTGCCTTGGGGACCTTGGGGTCTCTGGGGGCAGGCTTTGGCTTTGGTTTCGGCTTTGGGGATGCAGGAGGCGCAGGAGCACGCCCCCCCCCCAGTTGTCAAATGGCCGCGAACTTCATTCGCAGCCAGAGGTTGCTTCCTGAGGCACACCCAATCCGCTCCCTCCCACAAACAAAAAAAAGCTGTTCAGGGATGGTGGTTTAGGCACATGAGTTGGCTTTGAGGCACAGACTGCAACATTGCAGCGGTGGCTCCATCAAGGTGGCCAGTGGACGTCGTACTCACAGTGTTTGCCCTTGTGTTTCGGTCTGTCTCTTGCAGACCATCCCAGCACCAATACTCCCGCAAGGCCTGCCCACAGGTCGATACTCACACAAAATTGGGAGTACACATGTCAGCGAACATTTGTTTTTCTAGTCTTTGGTTACCCCATCCTCGTTGTCTGGTAGGTCTGCGTTTGCAATCCACAGACCCTGCTCAGTTTTGCGGGCTATGATTTCATCCACGATGACTTCATCTTGGTACTTTGCCAGCAGTGCCTGCAGTGCAGGACAGAGGTCGGACAGAGTGATAGTTTGGAGGGGGGCTTGGGCAATTTGAATAGAATGAAAGACCGAGAAACGGTTCGACTCATGGTCTTCCATCTCCCACGTCTCTCGTGTGAAGAGGTCGAAGAAGAGTTCATGACCAGCTCAGAGTTGGCCCACTTTCCCCCACAATTCACATATTCGTCATAGAACTTGTCCCACTCCAATTGGTCTCTACCTCACCCCAACCGCATCAGACCCTATGACCCTACATTTATAAAAGCACAAGATCTTTACAGTCTGGTATTCAATGAACAACTTGGGTGATCACTGCCAGCCATTGCTCGCAACTTTGCCTTCACTGGTTCCGGGCAGGACGCACCTGGATAGAGCAAGGGCATGGGAAAGAATGCGTGGTTTAAAACATTGTCAAAGGTGACAGCTAGATGCATACCATGGAACAGCGCACAGACCTGTGAAACTTTGCTTTCGCAGCCCGAATCTTCCTGTATCGCTCGGCCTTCTTAGAGTCCACAACAGCCTCCTAGCGGTTACCACAGTACAGCATAGTGAACACCGAACGCAACTGGACAACATCTCCTCCTGGTTCGTTGCAGGCTGCTTGACATGGTCATCTGCAGCTGCAGCAGGCTTGGGTGCCGGAGCCGGTGTCGTAAGAGCTGCATTGACCAAATCCGTCACTGGTGCAGCGGCTGCTGGCTGAACTGGTGTTTGCAGTGAGTGGTCAGGTGGGGCTGGAGCTTGGGCTGGACTGCTTGCAGAAGTTGCTGACTGCAGTGTCTGGGCTGTCTCCTGCTGCTGGAGTGGCGCAATGTTTGCGGCTGGGGCTGGGACTGGCTTCATGGTGCTGTCCCCTGCTGGGACTGGGTCATCAGGCTGGGATGGTGTCCCCTGCTGGGTTGGCTGAGGCTCCATTGCAATGTCTGCTGCTGGCTGGGCGATGTTCGCTGCTGACATCCCCTGCGTGCCTGCCAGGGTTGGCTGAGGCTCCATTGCAATGTCTGCTGCTGGTGCTGGAGGTGGAATGCCTCTTGGCTGGGCAATGTCTGCTGCTGACGTTGGGATGGTGTCATCAGGCTGCGATGACCCCTGCGTGCCTGCCAGGGTTGGCTGAATCTCCATTGCAATGTCTGCTCCTGGCACTGGAGCTGGGATGCCTGTTGGGTGGGCAATGTCTGCTGCTGACGCTTCATGAGGCTGGGATGTCCCCTGCTGGCCTGCCAGGGTTGGCTGAGGCTCTGCTGCTGGCGCTGGAGCTGGGATGCCTGTTGGCGCTGGGGTTGGGTCATGAGGCTGGGATGTCCTGCGCTGGCCTGCCAGGGTTGGCTGAGGCTCTGCTGCTGGCACTGGAGTTGGGATGCCTGTTGGCTGGGCAATGTCTGCCGCTGGGGTTGGGTCATGAGGCTGGGATGTCCTCTGTGTGCCTGGCAGGGTTGGGTGAGGCTCCATTGCAATGTCTGCTGCTGGCGCTGGAGGTGGGATGCCTGTTGGCTGGGCAATGTCTGCTGCTGATGCTGGAATTGGGTCGAAAGGCTGGGGTGACGGGGTCAGGGTTGGCTGAGACTCCATTGCAATGTCTGCTGCTGGCGGCCGGACTGGGTCAACAGATGTCTCCTGCAGGGCGTCAGGCGCTGGCGTTGGAGCTGGGGTTGTCTGCAGTCCAGGGCCGGCTTGAAGTGATGTCCCCTGTTGGGAAACTTGGGTTGGGTGTTGGTGAGGCTGGCTTCCTGGTGATGGGGTGTTCAACACAGCCGCCGGGGTCACATGTTTCTTCTCAACTCGAAACCGTGCCCAGTACTCGATCATCGCACGGGTTGGCGTCGCAACTGGAATCACCTCACCTTCTGTGGGTTTTGCTGCTGTTTGCGCCAGGGGCTCTGAAGGGGTTGCAAGGGGAACTGAACGGTGGAGGCAACTGGCAGGCAGCGCCTGCTCTGTCAGTACAGATGCCAGCACTGCCTTCTGCGCTTCCGTAGTCATCATGCTAGCCTCAATTTGATTCCGAAAGGAAACCTATGTATTTTTGTGCTTGGTATATCAGGGCAGTTAGGCTTCTTACAGCAATGCCGTCCATAGTTCCAGGTGAGTAGGGCAAGGTCAAGGTCGATTCCGTCGACTTTAACGTGCTCAAAGACTCGGGCGCCTCAGTAGAATTCCAAAAGCTATCCAGAGGGTCAGGCTGGCTGTCCAGCACGAGTGTAGGGTCCAATGCATCCTGGGTGTCATGGACCTCGACTATTTCACCTGGGGGACAAGATGTGGAATCAACGAAGACGAACGCGTCAACATAAAGGATGATCAAATTAATGAGACTATGGCCTGCAACAGCGTCCAAACGGTCCATGAGATTCTGCACCAGTGTCTCGTCGCTGGACTTTGACACCGAACTTGACAGTGTCTCCGATGTCTCTGTCTTTTGAAGCTTTGGATCTGGCGTCACCTTTTCACCAGTAGGGTTGGCATCCTGGAGAGAACATTGAATATAGCTGTGTGCCCCTACATGATCATGCAATGACCGGGTGTTGAGAAGGGTCCTTCACGATCACCTCTTTCTTTCTCTTCGGTTGAACGAGCAATTCCGGAGGTTGGGCTGCCATGGATGCTGCCTTCGCTTTCATCCGACGTGCTCCAGCTGCATGCAATGCTGCAGCAACTGCCTCAACGGCAGCGCCAGCGCTTAGATATATTAGATACGGACTATTGCGGACACATACCCGTGCAAACTTAACACCCAATGCCTGTGCCATCTCCGCATTTTCGTGGCCCATGGACCGGTCAGCCATGGCCGTCAGCTAAAATGCACTTACTTGTCAGCAAAAAAAGGGCCTTATGTCAGCGAGAAAAAGAAATCACACTATATAGCGGACACCTTTGTCCCAAAAATGCACAGGAAGATGGATCCAACCCAGGCTTGGCCATTTACCCGGACTATTTGGAACAGCCAGTCGGGACCCCCACCCCTCCGTCACGGCTCCGTCACGGTTTCGTCACGGGCGCAGTCCCTTTTTTAATTACTTTTTGTATACATTCGAGTTTAACGGTCACGCTCCGTCACGCTCCGTCACGGTGAGGGGTGGGAGAGTGCACAGTGGCTAAAACCACCAAAATAATTCGAGGTCTCCATGTTGACCTGTCAAATTACACATCAAAGGTCTCAAGCCTTTCCTAAAGTGGCAGGTTCGGTTGAGGGTTGAACTTGCCCTCCTTCACTGCTTGAAGTAGAAAAGCTCGCAGAGGTTCTAAGTCAGCGTGTTCCCACTGAAACAGCGGCTGAGGCGGTTGGAGATCGGTCAAGTCCTCTGGCAGCTGGATCGAAGGTGGATCAGGGTTGACCTGGCAGTGGGACAGGGTTGAGTTCAACAGTACAAGACTGGGATGGCTAGATTCTAGACCAACGACTCATACTCCAATGCAACTCACTCTTGAAGATTGAATTTGAAAGGAGGTGCCAACGTGTTCTGTTTAAGGGACTCCATGAGCCAGAAATTGCTTTCCCCAAAACGAAACACTAGCGTGAGAGAAATGGGGAGAATACACGTTGCCAGGTAAGGCCATGATGCAAGAAATCCCAGACACCCCATGTCTGTCACATACGCCTACATTGACCCCCTCAAACCACCCCAATGTAGGTAATACATGATGGCACCAAATCGGTGTTCGGTTGCCCAATGGAAGGTTGCCCAATGGAAGTCTTCACTCAAAATCCCTGTTCCTGCCACACTCCACGAAATCCAACACTTGTGCCACAAAATCTGCGTCAGGCTTGAGCACTACGGACTGGTGAAGGGATGGGAGTGATGAAAAACGTTTTAAAAGGGGCATCACTCCCAAGGCAACCCAGTCTTTACTATGGTATTCATATATATGACCGTTTCGGTCTTATTATAAAGACGGGTATGCTTTTGGGTCACTGCCACTGCGCTCCCCGTCAAAAAATGGTTTGTATATATATAAAATCAAGACACCGAATAAAACTATGAAAGAATATAAAACTCAACAAGTGTTCTGGACCACTGCTTGTTCAGTAATGGACCGCATAGTACAGCTGGTTAAATCTCACCAAAAAAAACTCCTGCTGTTTTTTGGGATGGAAATGGTCGCTCATACTGGTTTGCTGTTTCAACCAGGAACCCAAACATATCGAGCAAGCTACATAATGCTTGGCCATAACGAACTCAGTGAATGCTTCCGGGTATGCAGCCGATGATCGCATTGATGGGCCACCAGCCCTGGGCATTGCTGCTCTAGAAGCTACACCCATGATTTCCCTCATTACATGTAAAACGCTCGGACCTGAGGTTCCAACACTGTTTTTCGTCCAGACTTTGATATGGCTTTCTTTACCATTCCCTGTCCAGATCCAACTTTGCAAACTCTCTTGGATTCGATTTGATCCAGCCATGGCCTAAGCTTGTGCTGGTTGACGGCCACCCCCTTCCCAAACACAGTAACTGTTGCAATCACAGATGTTCCAGGGAGTTTGTAAGGTCGGAGCGCAGATCCAAATAGGTATGACGGCTTTGCGGTCCAATGGTTAAATGTTGACATCCAACTTAGACACCACGAGGGCGATGTATGCCAACGTGCACACGCACTTTGACATTCGGGCCACGGCCGCCCCCAAAATGTGGTTGGTGCATCCAAGAAACAAACGCTTGAAAAGTGTGGTGTGTAGACTGCACAAATATTGAATATGTGGCCAAAAAACAAGAGTCGATGAACTGGGCTGTTCTACCTGAATTTGCAGCGTGCAATGAAGCAGTTTGAGCGCAACATGTTAATTAATCAACAGGGCAACTTACAGGCTGACAACGGCGCAAACAAGTACAGTTGTTCAGCAGGTCACGACATAGTTGGCCCCCAGAACCATTGCCAAAGCGGCCAGCATAACGAATCGTGTAGCGATGGTATTGCCGTGTGACACCAGCTGGGTTCCTGGGAGTATATACGCAGACCAACACAAGGGACTCCCCTCAAAGCAAGGACAAGCTAGTTGTCAAGTGCGGTCAGGCGTCAGGAATCACCAAGAATGCAACTATACCGGAGGTGCGTTCCAGAAGAGATCCAAACCCATCTCAGTGTTCGGGAATGCTCAGGATCACAAAAAAAGAACCTTCGATATCATGTTGTATAAAACACAGCCAGCTTTTCGGAATTCAGTCGTGGAGGTTGACTATTCATCGAGGGCACGAGCAACATGGGAGACCACCCCATAACAGAGCTCCCCTTTGTAATCTCATGGTGTCTCTCAGGGCCCACAAGAAGCCAACTGTTGATAAGAAGTCGTTCTCAGCTCCTCGGGCTTCCCAATCGTAATATTGCCTTGGCACTGCCATGCCATGCGCGCCAAGGAATCTGAGATCAGTTCAAGCAACCAAGTGCCCCACGCGCGGGCACCGTGGGATCCTGAGCCAAGCTAGCCAATGGGAGCTCACAGCATCCCCCCAAAGGTAGCCTGTAACTGCTCAATGTTGAGAGCCCAACTATACGTTGCTGTCAGTGTTGCCGAGCCAGAGAACAGCTCAAGCAGTGAAAGGTCCTTGGACGCTACGCTGGGTTTAGTACTCCAAGTCTTGGCTTTGGGTTCCTCAACATCAGAAATTAAATATCAGAATCTAAGCAGCGCACCCGCTGCCAAGAACACCCACTATCATTGCCCTCGGTCCGCAACACACTACTCTGTCTAGGCCACGACGATTGCTTTTTCCGGTTAGGGCCGGACACTCCCAAGTTGAGAATCTCCAATATCAGCAATATAGTCACAAAGATGAATCCTGGGCCAGTGGGATATTGTCGCGTATGAAGCTTGCGCTAACAGCGGTGGCATCCTACCTAATAGCGATGGCCTCCAACCTGATAGCGATGGCGCCCGACCCAAGAGCAATGGCCTCCAACATAACAGCAATGGCCTCCAACCTAATAGCGGTGGCCTCCTTCCTGCCTAATACCAAGAGAGGTCAAAAGGCAAAAAGTGAAGCAGGCTGTAAGGACCCTTATAACTGTGTGTTTCCATGTTTTTTGTTCTCATGTGTTCTCATGACCTCTCTTGGATAGCAATGGCTTCAACAAGGCAGATGTAAATGTCAAAGCGCTTTTATGTTGCAACCAAGGCTTCAACAAAACAGGAAGTCCCAAAGCAATGAGAAGAGCGCACTCTCGCGCTGACAAGCGTACACCCCTTTGTGATGGCATTCTGCCAAAGTACTGACTGACCAGAGCTCCGCAAAAAATGGCTCAAGCAAGAACATGAACAGAGGCGGTGTTTTTTCATTCCTGCATCAAATCAATCACTACCACCGTTGTGCGTACGTGTCAAGCGCACATATTTCCCCAAACTTCTCTTGGCGTTGAGCTTCGCTCAGTCGATAGGCTTCAAGCCATGCAAGTGGCCGACGCACCGTACACAATATAGCTGGCATTCCAGCTATACGCCCCATCAGCATTGCCAACAAAATTACTCTATCATGGCCATCCGGCTAACGACCTGGCCACAAGGAAACTCGCTGCCCAACCTCCTTGCTTTCTGATAGAAACAGTAACACCTCCCTGGCGGTTAGGCGCGAAGTGTTCTAGCTTCTTCTTCATCTCGTTCACGTACACCTGATCCACTGCCCACCTGAACGTCGGGCGCGCAAGGAATTGTTGCAGGTGCAGCTAAGGACCCTGCAGAATCTGGATGCCACTCCCATTGCCAGACTCATCGTGCAGCGTGAAGCTCTTCCGATCTCCAGAGAACTCTTGTGCAATTGGAATTCCAGCTGCGCGCAGTACAGCCTCCTCCAGGAGGGGAAAAAATACAACCTGAGCATTCCTCGACTTCATTGCCCCTTGTTTCTGCCCAACTCCTACTCTCTGTCTCTCTGTCTCTCTCTCTCTCTCTTTCTCCTTCTTTGTCTTTATCGCTTCTTCCTGATCTTGCTCTCCCTCTCCTAACCCCTTTGCTTTCTCACCCCCTGTATCTGGCAATTGTCCATTTAGTTTCGTTGAGCTGGGGCTTTGAGAGGTGTCCGGTAAAACCCTTTTTTGATCTAAAAAAAACGGGTTCCCCGGACACCTTCTGAAGTTGAACCCGAAGTGGAAAATTACTATCTCTCTCCCTCTCTAGCCTTCTCTGTCCTTCTCTCTCCTTCTCTCGCCTCTCTCTACTTCCCATCTGACTCTCTCTCTCTCTCTCTCTCTCTCTATCGCTCGCTCGCTCGCCTCACTCTTTCTCTCTTACTCTTGAGGCCCCAAATCTACGCTAAGTTTTCTTCCTAAGTAAATTTGTCGGATTTTCTTATTCAAGTACATAATGTAGGGCAGGGCAGGGGGCCCACAGTACCAGCGTCACCGTGGCGCAGTTCTAGGTTCAACGAAGGATTTCTTCGTTGAGCCTCAAACTATGCATTGATGATGTTGGAGGAGGCTCAGCATGTGGACTGGTACCTTGTTTAACTAGAATTGGTCATCTCTATCTCTAAATTTTGCAGTTGCTCCTACTCCCTCTTTATCTCTCTCCGACTCTCTCACTCTTGCTCTTAATTCAAGCAACTTCTTTCAGCTTGTGGCCCTCAAAGCAACGTTACCCTTTTCCACAAGAAAGATCTCTCACCACGCCTTCTCCGTCCAGAGCTGAGGAAGATTCACAGGAGGACGCGGGGCACGCTTTGGACGAGGCTGGGTGTTTCCAGAGTCGGGCTCACGCTCAGCATTGGGTTTCGTAGGCTCAGTGGCCAAACTACACTCAACTGTAGGAGCCGCTGTTCTTTCCTCTGGTTCGCTATTCGTCTTTGTCTGGGTTGGTGCTTTCTTTGCCCGAGGCTTTCGCTTAGGCCCAGGCTGCCCAGGCTTTTGTTTCTTTTTCCCATCAGATTCACCATCGGAAGCTTCATGACCACGCTTCGATCCCCGAGCGGCCTTCAAGACCTGTGATGTAGTTAACGATGTGTGCATGCAGTGCATGCGCTAATAAGTGAAAGAACGCATTATGTTTTACATTGAACTCGCAGAGTCGAAGAAGATGCGACCCAGGCCTCTGCCTGACTCGCGAGAAGGTCAGCATCTTTGCTGGCTGAAGAGGCAAGAGTGTCGGAGACTACGGCGACCTGTTGGGCCAAGCTGCCATCCAGTTCTACTGGAGCTGGGAGTAGAGGTGCTTTCTCCTGGAGACGTAGGACAATGAGTCGATTGCGCAACAACGGAAAACCTTGGGTCCTTGGCAGCCTGCCGTTTTGATGCTACAGCCAAAGATTTTGCCTGGGTCAGCTGTCAGGAATAGATATTTGTATAACGCGTTTCACAAAAACAGTGGCCTCAACATTAGCAGCTGGGATCCCTTGTGTCTTTCCAGGTGGAACTGGTTCCTGCGTGCATTTTGTTATCTACTGTCTTCCAAAAGCACGAATCGAAGTGAGAAACGCCTGACTGTCGTGCAAATCGATCATCTTTTCCTGCAGTACGAGCGGGCAGGTCTTGGTAAGGCCCAGTGGTTTGCTTACACTTCCCACCTCAGGCGAGATCTGGGAAGCGGCCACTAAGTACTATCAAGATGTGCGTTTTAAAGGGTTTGCGTTCGCCGTGTTCCAACACGTGCCTGGACCTCTCCGCGGTCAGACCCACTAGAGAGAGAAGCTTCAGGTTCCTGCGCAATCTTGTCATTTTTGTTGCGAAAAGAGTTTTAGGCCTTCACCATGACAGCACTACCCCTACAGTCCTGCCCCTCAGTGTGCTCAACATGGCGCCGAATAGCCTCCTCCACATCCAAGTTGGCACCGCCAGGTGCAGCTGCGGAGCATTGCGCAAGCGTGCCGGATCACTTGCTTTGATGAGAGAAATGATGCGCGGGAAGTCAGTTGCAGTACATTAGCTGACACACAAAAAGCCCAGCCTTCAGCAAGAACTTGGTGGATCAAAGTTTTGATATGGAGAATTTTCGGGTTCCTGCCAGTACAGGATTGGTAGAAGATCGAGCCGGAGTTCAAAAACAAACCCCACCTTGCACCATGGCTTCGGCCTGCCAGCTTCATAGCATGGATTCCCAAAGCGCGTGCTTGGCCAGCTGTAACAGAGCTCCAGTCCTTCAAGAGTATAGCGCAACATCCCTTGAAATAACTAGAATCTATATCCTTAACGATCTTCTTGCGCGTTCTCGGAGGGAAGATTCCATATCGGTCCGCCATCTTCCTGAAAACGGCCTGCAACAAGGCTTCAAAACAAATCTCACTTTCCCCCTAAACATGTACTCCAATCGGAATGCCTTCCACATCGAATGGCACGGCCACTGGGATTCACTTGCAAAGGTGGCGACTAGTTGGATGACAAAATCAAAATTGTCCTGAAAGGAGCACTCTTCGCACTAAGAATTTAGAATGTGCATGTGTGCAAGACCAACTTGATAATTGTCCTCCAATGCTTTTGCACTGGCTGGGTCACAGCCATCAAGCGTCAACAGGGATCGACTGGAATCGTTTCGGATCTTGCTCAGCACATCTCCCTTGATCAAATATTGTTCGATCACATCCTGCCATCAGTTGAAAGTCTGATACTACAGAAATCTTCACAGATCCATGTTACACAAAAATACACGGATGTAAAAGATCAACCTCCGCAAGTAAGTTTGCACGTTTACGGATGCACGCGCATGTCCTCGAGCATCATCAGCTGGCTATCCACACTCGCCTGCAGACGTGTACACGAACTAGGGTACACAGAGAGTATGTGAGGCCAATCTTAGGTCTCCACCATATCAAGTATCCGGCCAACGCCCGAAGCACGTGCAGGGCCGCCCCACTAACAAAAAGAGCTGCGAACGAGCAGCCAAAGTGCATGGACCAGCAAAACTTGTCATGGCACCTTCTCAGGGCTTTGGTAGATCAAATGTCACAACAAATCTTGGATTGAGTCGACCAACCTATCAATTTCACTAAGAAGTGCCTTGAGCAAACACATGGGGCACCAGTCTCTGATCGTTGTGAGCTCCATGACTTGGTAGTCGATGATGAGGTCGATGGGAAGTTGCCTCGAACAGGCTCTATGAAGGGGATTAACCAAACATGTCCAACTATATCTTGCTAAGTTCCCCACACAGGGCTGTGGCTCGCCGCATGGCGGCACCCAGCAGCAAGAACAAGAGCCACATGCGAGATCCAGTCAAGATTTCTTATGCATGTGGCAGGTTTGTAAGTCCATTATTGTACCCAAGGATGTGGATCAGTGTTATGGGGCATCATTGTTGTGTAAGCCCCCATCCTTTGATAGAGTTTGGAGCGCCCTCAGCGGTTGAATCATGAATCTCTCCAAAACATGTGGTGATCGCCAATGTTGAAGGCGGCTCATGCGACGCCTCCCGGCAAGAACTATAAGTAAAGAGGCCACAGATACATCCCATCGCAAGCGCTGATGGCCCAGCTGTGCCAAACCAAACCCTAAACATTTCAAACTTGCGACATGTCCTCCATCATGCAAAAAATCGATAACACAAGGGCCTGGACACCATGTTTTAACGAACGTAAGCTCCTGGAGCTAACATTTGAAAGTAAGCTCGTGAGACCAACATTCGAATGATGGCAAATATTGCTTACACGGAGCGTTAGGGATATTTATTATAGCCATTATGGAATTATGTCTTAGAACTGACTCAGGACTATAAGACACTAAAAGTGGCTATAGTAAATATTTTTCTTTTTTTAGAAGTCAGCCCCCCGTTCAAGGCCATTGATTAGGAGGTTGATCACTGTTTATCACTCCAATGTTTTCTTGCATGGCTTGCTTCATGCAGATTCTACATGATGCTTGGGTGATGTATCCGTGTAGCCGGTGTAACCCGTTTGAGGCTGGGTGATGGTGTGAAAGAAGTGGACTCAGCCCGGATATATAATCCAACTTCATTCTTCTTTCAGCAGTTTTATGATTATCACAGGCCTGGATGGCATAATCAGGTACAATTTTCTGTTCCAGAGGTGGAACAAAAACGCTAACCAAATCCCCTTCACAAGGTGTACTAGGAAGATCTAGGAAGTTTGATGAAGTTTGGAGGTCCTGGTTTTCCAACATTGCCATGATTTGCCGCAAAGTGTAGTGGTTCAAACCCGAACATCTGGTCTCTGGCTGCCCGACTTCCACCCCATCTGTCTCCACGTCCGAACCCTTAAATGAGCGAGATGTTCAAAAGTTGGACCGTTTCTACTGAGGCTTCGTTGTTGGTTTTCCGACCTCGTTTTCCCAGAAATTATGGAATTGCACCAGATAGGTTTGTTCACCAGGTGAGTTAGACTGCCACTGGACCTTTACAATGTGAAGTACAGCAAAGGACCTTCTTAAAAAAAAATACCAGTACAGCAAAGGAACTTCTTACAGTACGGGGCATTTAGGCCAGGGTCTACAAACGACACTTTTTCGTGGATTTTGGCTTCGTTTGGGGTTTCGTTTTGGTATCGTTTTGAGACACCACATTTCAGACACTCCAAACCCTGAAGAAAAAGAATCGAAAGCACCAAGCAATCGCTCTGCAGGAAAAACAAAGCTGCGATCCGAGAGCTACTTCCCAGCTTCAACTTTCTAGCTTCAACTTCGGCAAGTCACAGGCAACTAGAGCCTCAGTGTGGCTTTTACAATGTGAAGTACAGCAAAGTGCAATTACCCCTTCATCTTCAGTACTTCTCAAAAAAGGATACCAAACATCCCACCAAGGTTTTTGGTTTTCCGGCTTCTTTTTCCAAGAAATGTGCAAGATCTTACCCCAAATGATCCATTTACAGTACTAGTAATATGAAAACTGAATGCCAGGTTTTTTGGGGTGGCTCAAATGACTGCCCTCTCCAGGTTAAGGATGGTTAAGGGGCGGTAAGAAAAAGAGTAAGTTGGACTGTGACTAGATCAAAACAACACGTCACTAATCCATGAATTATCCCATTCTGCGGGTGGAAACAACCACTTGACTCATATATATATATATATCATCATACATCTCTTACCAAAAAAAACATTTTGCTCTCCTTTTGTTCCTTTCGATTCTCTTCTTCTCCCTCACCTCCCAGGTGTAGCAGCCACGACTTGTGGCCTCTTCCTCAGGAACACCGGGCGGAAATCCAAGGAATACTTCAAGTGAACCCCCAGCAATAAAGGAGTATTGTGAGTCACATCGTTGGAAAAAACCTCCGATCTCTCAGAGGCCCTGGCTATCTACGTTTCATACGGTAATATATAGATCAAGCCTCTCATGATCACGCCGTCTCTTGAAAAAAATCGATGTTCATCATCATCGAGCCAAGTGAAGCTTCAAAACTGCCCACATCTGCCCACAAAATGAGGAAACAAATCAATTGCACTGAAACCTTGCATGGGGGGCTTCATGATCCTGAAGTAACGCAGAATGCACTTCGTCAATGTTGATGGACGGACGATAGGACCGTGTCTCGAAAGAGGGAATCACCCAAAACCAACCAACCAACCAACCAACCAACCAACCAACCACCCAGCCAACCAACCAACCAACCGACTGACCGACCGACCGACCGACCAACTTGTTACGTAGCAGGGGCTCCCGATAAACGGCACAGTGGAAAACAAACTTGGTATGTCAAGGTCCTTGAGGAAAGTTTGCAGGTGGCCTTGCACATGTCCTGTGTGTGTGTCACCCCTGTACCTAAGGGTTCCGATGTTTCCAAGCAGGGGGCCGGAGCCAGGTGGGGTCTCCGGCCAATGAAGACGCCCCCCACCTGGGTGAAAACGTCCCTGCGTTTTTCCAATTTAATTTTTTAATCAAGCTCTAAAGTGCTAATGCAAGATGAAAACAATGTTGAAACATCTCCAATTTTCCGGACTCCATCGCCTTTCCGTTCTGCATTTTTGAGTCAAGGTCTAGTTGCACTAAAGGGAAACTTTTGTTAAACTATACTGTTCTCGCTGACCCATGCGCCTTTCTGTTCCCTCACCTTCCTTCTCAACGTGGGAACTGAGTTAACTGCAAACCAATGTCAGAGTGTGAACCGCTCAGCCGTCCCACTTGGGTGCTGAGTGTGATCCCCGTGAAAGGGGCGCCGAAGCCATACCGGAAATCATCCTTCCCGTTCATAACTGATTTTTCTCCACTGACTCACCTGTTCCACTTCCATAACTGAATTCACTGAACAAAGAGCCGCCGGGCTTTCACGGTGAACAACCATGGCCGCCGGGCCAAAAAACGGAATTCCACTTGCGGTCAGGCATGTTTCCCTTCCCCCCCCCCCGCCGAGTTCTACTCCCCACCTAATTAGGGCAACACAGGGAAATGGTACTCGACACACTTGTGTGTCGGTGCCTTTCCCTTTGTTGTTCCTGTTCTAGTCTTCTCTACCCGGGCGGTCTAAGACTAAAGTCCCGCTCCCTAACTATTGCATTTAATTCGCCTCGGCTAAGTAATCAGTAACTCTAGAGTGCTAAGTAGTCATACACACACACGGACACACACATGCTACATACACCCCCTCCCTGCCCCCCCCTTTCTTTCTTACGCTTTCGGTCGTTTCTTGGGCTTTCTCTCAGGCTTTTTAGGTTGTTCTTGAGGCTCGTTTCCCTGCCCCAGTCAAGGGCTAAGTATTCACCTTTTTTTCTACACCTATCTTTCTCTCTTGCCCTCTTAGCGCTGCTCTTTCTGTGTTTCTTTCTTTTGTTTCTAAGGCTTTTAAGGTGCCTATTCAGGTCGATCGCACGAGCGCCGCAAAGCGGCACCGTGTGTGTGTGTGTGTGTGTCACCCCTGTACCTAAGGGTTCCGATGTTTCCAAGCAGGGGGCCGGAGCCAGGTGGGGTCTCCGGCCAATGAAGACGCTCCCCACCTGGGTGAAAACGTCCCTGCGTTTTTCCAATTTAATTTTTAATCAAGCTCTAAAGTGCTAATGCAAGATGAAAACAATGTTGAAACATCTCCAATTTTCCGGACTCCATCGCCTTTCCGTTCTGCATTTTTGAGTCAAGGTCTAGTTGCACTAAAGGGAAACTTTTGTTAAACTATACTGTTCTCGCTGACCCATGCGCCTTTCTGTTCCCTCACCTTCCTTCTCAACGTGGGAACTGAGTTAACTGCAAACCAATGTCAGAGTGTGATTGTGTATCAGAACAGGGCTGCTGCAACCCAGCGTCCTGAGCCCCGCCAGCTGCTGCGCCTTGGGCGCTCCACCAAAGATGGGCTCTAAAAGCAGATCACCCGAGCGGGCGTAGCGCTCTGCCTGCCAAAGACCGGATCTGTATTGAGAAAGCGTGGAAAAGCGAGCTCGTTGGCGACGTTGACCAACCAGATCTGAGTCACCCTTTGGAGGCTATAAGTGACAGCATGTGTGTCCTGGTCCGACCTCAAAGGTGTTCAGTTCTTTTTATGTCTATGGACTGGATATACAGGGAGCTCCCCAGTCAGCCAATGCGTCTTGTTCAGCCACGTCCCCAGTCACAGTGCAGTGAGTGGATCGGCCCTTCAAAGGGATGGGTCAACCCGAAGACCCGAAGCACACAAAGGAGAGCAAACAAGGACACCCCCAATTAAGATAGCAAAACCATCCAGAATCGTCTTGAACTTCTCTGCCGGACCGGTCTTCCAAACACTCCAAATGATGGAATGCAAAGGTGCAATTCTCCGTCTTCCCTTGTGGGTACCTGTAGATCGAGACACAACCATCAAACAAAAAACCAATCAGTGACCTACAGTACTTATGTACCTACCCACCAGTTACCCTCCCAGTGACTTCACACCGGTCCACCCGTCGGTCGGTCCACCACCACCAAGTCGCTGTGACCAGGATCTGCGCCACGAGCCTTGGTGTGTCTCAGGGGTGTCTAATAGGAACTCAAACCAAAAACCACCGGTTAAAGACAGTTGGAGGGGATCCATAATTGAAGATTAATTAATACCGTTACACCAAGTATATTTTGAATATTACATAAGAACATGAAGGAGTGAAACGGGAATTTGCTAGGACGTTCTCGGAAGGCCAAGGTCAATCCTTCTAGATTCATGCTCAAGCAGGTGACTGTTCACAGAGCCAACAACCTCCAAACAGCCCCAAAAGCAAACAGTCGCCAGTCTCCCTTAAACATCTACAATTGATGATTAAAACATATTGAACTGGACATATCCTTGCAATATATTATCCTAAATGGATCTAGATGGAGTCTAGATGGTAGTAATCATTCCTCTCTATTTGGGCGTCGTTTCTATCTTGGGACTTCCAAGAAGTCCTCTATTGATCGAATCAGATGCGACCCGCAATTGACCACCGATGCTTGGAGAGCATACCAAGGGTGAAAGTTTCCCTGGTGGAGTCGCGTGGACTTAATTACATAGACCTGGGAAGACCTGCAACCATTGGATTGATGGTTGTTGATGGCCTTTCAACATCAATTGTATGATGAGTATAGTATTGACTCAGCTGGTCAGCGTGACTCTGCCGATTCAAGGAGCTCCCGTCGACTGGTCCAAGGAGCTCCCGCGTGGGACCCAAGACCAGCAGCAAGGGCCAGCACTCGGGTGTGATGGGTCCAGGGCAGCGAAGCAACCGGCTGAAACTGGGAAGGAGATAGGCCTCAAGTTAGGTCGGAATCAGTCGGACCTAAGTTGAGGACGTATTGCCAAGCGTTACCAAGGTCCTTCAAAGAGGAAAGTCCCTTGATTTCGAGACAGAATTATTCTAGAATTGATTGTTTAAATCCTCTTTTGGTTCCCCTTGGCTTCCAAATGTTACTGGGTGAGCCAGGCAACAACAAAAGGATATAAAAGGTAAACCTGTCGGCCATTCGCCGATTTGGCTTTGGAACTGGAGATAGCAAGGGTCCATATCCTTTGCGTTCGGATATGTTCGGAGGTCTACCAGTGTATCAGTATCATCAGCATATCGGATATCTGGATTCGACGACTTGCTGGGCCCTGAGGGTCTCGTTTTCAGTGTTTTTTTCCCCACACTCGGCCGGTTAGGCATCCCAGGCACCAAAGTCTTGCCAGACCCGGTGGCGGAGATCCCTGCGCGGTGAAAAAGAAGGATCAAGCCAAGCTAGTTCGTTGCATGGGCGTGTAGAAACCAAGCTGCATCCTCTATCTCTGAAGTTGTGATCTTGAACTCTTGAACTATAATCAAAGGAACCATCCAAATACTTAACAGACTTAACATATACTGGGTGTTACGTTGCTTTTGTATGCTTTGGTCAGGAAGTCGGACTGGGGGGGGTTCCCCCTAATGATTCCAATCCGACCACGAAACATGTACGTAACCATCGCAAAGGCTCAGCAGTTCATTTCTGAGCCCACTTGCTAGTAGAGACATAGTGTCGAGGAGCTGTCACTGAGAACTTCACACATTGAAACATTAATAGCTCCAATGCTCTGACCCACCCTTGAATAGAGGACCCAAGCAACGGCTGGGTAAAACATGATGAAACATGATGAAACCACTGATGAAATCCACTGCTTGGGCTGCCCAAATCAAAGAGAGACATTCCAAGAAATTGCAACATTATGAATTGATAAGCTTTTGGAAACATCCTCTTCCGCATTCTATCTCTCTCTCTCTCTCTATGAAACACCACTGCAACCTCCTGCAGTTGACGATGAGATCGCGCCGTGATCGCGCCTATGAGATCGCGGCCGGCGGCGACGATGGGCAGGGCATAGGACTGGATGAGCCTCGCTGCGGCGGTCGCGGACGAGACGACGCAGGCGACACGGCCGTCCCCTCGACCGTGAGGACTCGAAGGATTCGATGTTTATCTGAACTCCGCACCTTGTTACTAGTAGCTTCTTGCTCCTAGTAGTAAGGCCAGGAGCCCCTAATAGCGTCCTTGCTCCCGGTAGCGATGCCAGGAGCCCCTAGTAGCTTCTTGTTACTGCTTCATGTTCGATGTCTTGAGAAGTCGACACCTCTTGGTTTCCCGAAAACTCTCAAACTCTCCCTTCCAAACTCTGGGTCTTCCAACACCGATGCTGGTCTTGGTCGCACAGCTGAGGTCAGTGCGTGGGCTGTTCAAAGCCATTCGCTAGCAAAGGTGCCATAAGCTTGGTGTGCAAGACCTCGAAGATAGGACGTGATGTGAGGTCCAAGAAGGACCACCTTCAATTCTTCTTGTCGGCTTTGCAGTCTGCTTTATGTGTGATTTGTTTCTACTTTCTACATGTTTCTGCGCTTTGCCAGGGTCTTTATTCTTTGAAGACAAGCCAATGTGGGTCGCAAACCCGTTAGTCATGTTACCCTGTGACCAGAACTCATAGGCTACACTTTGTACAGGTTCCAGGTTCCAGCAAAAGAAACATGTTTCATGCCATGCACCGCAACCGCCTCCCGAGGTGTTTCTGCAAGTTGGGCTTCCCAGTCTACTAGGTGGAAATCGTCCATACTTCACACCAACCAGTCGGACGCACAACATCATATAAGCTAATTTACTTATTAGTAGAACGAGGACCAGGACGCCCCATGAGGCCCCCAATCAAACTCATTGGGGGACACTCCTACCATGCGGGATGTGGGCTTTTGCTCAACCCCATTAAATGAAGCTTGCCTGATGCCAACTGCTTCAAAAAGGCATACGTACCGAATCCTATGCAGAATCAAGAGCATCCAAAGCCAAAGTGCCGTGTAAACAACAATCATCATGGAGGAGCGATCTAGTCTGGTTGGTGGCATCAACTCCCTTGAAACATATTAGTCACTGGGATCAATCATCCCATGTAAAGGTTGAAACAAATTCTGATACCACCACCCCAGTAGGTACTCTAATTGCTTTGTATTTGGTTCCTCCCTTCCGGGCGTATTCTACGCCACCAACCTTCTCCCGCCGCGCCACCACTTTGGCATCTTCAAAGCTCTCCACCGGAGATGGAATGGCTTGACTGGTGGGCGCTTGTCTCAGCTTCACCATTGGCTCATTTGGCACCCTTGGTGGGTAGGCTGGCTGCCCCAGGATTCATGGAATCCACCAGAAGGTTGGGCAAAAGGTTTTCCCAATAAGTTTCCAAAAGAGGTTCGGTGGACCCAATCCTTTCCAGAAAAAAAACACAGCAATTGCCCGTCTGAACGAACACTTTGGATCCCATGTACACCTGAACATGAGAATTCTGGTGACTCCGGTCCAATGATTCTAATGGCCCTGTCACAATCCCAGAATATTGGAATGCAAAGGGACTGGAGAATGAGGGGATTGGGCAAGTACACATGTCTTAAGTTGCCAAGCCGCCCAGCAACCTTAGGATCCAAAGCACCCTCTCCTATCACAGTATATATAGTGCGATCACAGCAGTGCCATGAAACATACTGTATGCGACGAACGTCTTCTTGTCGTCAATAACTCAAGGCCCCAGCTCTGGCTCCATCTCCACCTCCACAGGCTCTTCTTCATGGGCCGTCTCTGGCTCTGCAGCCGCCTGAGACATTGGAGAGGTTGCAAATATCATGGGACCCGATCAACATATGGGCTGAAAACGCAACCACACTGATTAATCAAACATATAACCTAATATAGTATAATTACTATATGTATATTTAAACACACATGTTTATTCCATATCTAATCCATATCTTATAAGTGTGAGAATTATCTGAAACTTTCTGAGCCAATAAATATTTTTTTTTTTCCGCAGACATGTTGTCTAATCGCTGAGAGGTGTTTGCAAGTACATCGCATAGTTCTTTCCCCTGTCCTCGGCGCAATGTCTCAACTTCAGGCGACTCTCAACACTGCGACTGCCAACCTTTTTAAGTTGTGAATATCACCCGACCTCCAGTAGGACCCTTGAACCGCTTCCGACTGCGCCTCCTCCCTGCCTCCGGTCGGAGGACGGCGCTCCTCCTGCCCTGCCACGTCACGCAGGTACCTGCCATGCTCATTCATCGCTATTAGGTTGGAGGCCATCGCTAGTATCGGCCCCGCCCGCCCCAAGCCTGTCGGTCTCCAGCAGCTCCACCGGGCGATAGCCTGCGGTCTCCAGCTCCGCGAAGGAGACCGTGCCGCCCGTGCCTGGGTTCGCGGTGTGGTGACCCAAGTGGGTGGAAGGAGCCTGTATTTGCTTGTATGATTTGCTGTTTGTCATGTTTTGATAATTGTCCATTATAGTGTCTTTTTACAGAACACATATTTAGACAAAATGAGACCAAATGTGATAGAGATCGATAAAGTGTTATATAACAGCATCACAAAAAGGGTGGCTTATTAATGGCTGCTCATATGATAAAGATTGATAACGTGTTATATGACATCACACAAAGGGTGGTTCAAGGAAGAGAGGCCAATCGTTCTGAAGGGCCAATGAAAACAAACAACAACCTCTCCGCCCCACTCCCAACACACTCCCCAACGTTCACCGGGGCCTGTCTCCAACCGTGGCCTCTTGGCATTTCCTGCGTCACGGATCCGCTACTCGGGGTGTGGACACGCACGCCGTTAGGTCGATGGTGGTTGGTTCCGCGCGCGTCGATACAATATAGACCTTTATATATTATTAATAAAGACATAGGCCCAAGGCCAGGCCAACTGAGAGACTTAAAAACGACATCCTTCTATTTGGATGGTCTACTGATAAAAATCCTGTTGCACGTCTACGGCATGGTTGGAACATGTTGGAACCCACTCAGAGAGGGAATCTGACCCTCAGGCTGCCTCCTCCAAGCCACAGTAAAGGTTCAGTATTGTATAGTATTGTCAATCATTCAGATTTAGTACGGATTGGTGAAGACGGTTCGAGGTCATCCACAGAGTGGGTGAGCATCTAGCAGTCTCTCATACTCAAACAGAGTGTAGGGGGTTGAGTACTGCTTCACCTTTTGCCACTTCATGCTTCGTTCGTGTCCTTGGCCATCGTCGTCCTCTTCTTCCTCAGAGCCGCTATCGCCTTGCAACTAGTGTGCCGACGCAAACCGACAAAGTCTGTTATCACGTGCGTCTTCGTTTTGTAGGACTTTCTTGATTCTTGATCCCCTAGTAGCGTCTTTGCTCCTCCCAGTAGTAGTCCCCTTTTTCTTGGATGTCGGGAGTTGCGGGAATCTTGAACACATGCTACTGCTAAAGGACTGCTGGACACGAGTGGTCCTGTCATCAGGCATAAATGGCCTCCCACATTTCGGACTGCGGACTGTGTACAAAAAAAACATGCAAAACAAGGGAAGACAACCGAAAGCCACGGACTTGTTTCTCATCTGGAACATAAACTGAATATTTCATGGTGTTGTTACTTGAGGAATTGCACACCTGAACCGCTGAAATCGTTACTTCGAATCGCTTCCACAACTCGGTAAGGGCTTTTGACGACGACAACAACAACAACTCAGCCCTTCACAACGGAGGGCCAGCAGTCACCTCTACAGGAAGCACAAAGTTACTAGAAATTCAGGTCACCCACTCTCCAACTGCTAGAGGCCGGTCATGTTCCAGCAGTTGTCCAGTTTCCTTCCCGCCAGCCTATCAGTGCCAAGGGATCTTGGAGCATCCCATGGCAGGATCGCCGCGGACCCGCGGAAACCGGTGAAAACACCCCATCCGCGATCTCTGCGTCTGGTTAGGTCCGAAAGCCAAGATCGAGCGCCAGCAAGGATTGGAAGCAGTTGGGGATTTCTCAGATGACAAGTGATCGGAATCACAAGATATCGCAAGTGATCACAACTCACATCAGCGAACGAAGTACCAACACGTGTCCCCCAAACTCCCACCGCAGCTGCGAAGACTGCGGCCGGGTCCTGGTTGATACCGGGCAGCTTCCCCAAGAGGCCGCAGCCCCAATTCCTGAGGCGACGTTCGTCGTTCGGCGTCGTGCACAGCCACCACACCGCCCCATCGAAGAGAAAACACATCGTGACAAAGTAGTGACAGTTCCCATGCTCACATTCTCATAGTGTGCCACTATAGAGAAGAGCAACCCAGAAAAACCAGGATGTATCATTGCCATAAACATTCATAGACTTCATGGACCATCAGAACACAGGGCAGAGTTCAAGTGGCTTTTGTGACCTCATTGGGCGCCGTCTCGCCTTCTGTGACATCATTGCCTAGCTGATCCGTCAGGCCTTGCCCCTTCATCCGAGCTGCGGATCATCGTCGGATCCCAAATCCTAGAGCGATAACTGGAGTCAGATCGCGCAGCAATGTGTTCAAACGTTTGCTGTATTTTGTTCATATGCTATAATATAAGTCCTTACATACAGCAGTGAATGTACAAAACGTACAAATCTTACACTAAAATACAGTACACTACATGACTCTATCGATTGCCAATGAAATGGCCGCTGTCCCATTGCGGTTTCTCACTACTTCCAGGCAAACTGCCAGGGATGTCTGAGAACAACATTTGATTCCAAACACAACTGGACGGTCAATTTTGTGCCTGCACCTCCACTGGCACTGGAGCTGTTGGTGGAGCAGGAGCAGCTGGGGTGGGTGCTGGTGCTGCTGGTGCTGGTGCTGGTGCTGCTGGTGCTGGGGCAGGAGCTTCGCTGGGCTCTGCCGGCTCCGCTGGGGTTGGTTCGGCAGGTGCTGCGGGATCCGGCAATGGTACTTCAGGTGCAGCGGGTGCGGGTGCAGGCACCTTAGTTTTCAGCGCTTTCTCGGGCAAAGTCTAGACCGCGGCAACGGCCAAAAGGTGACCGGAGAATACTGGAGGTTACCGCTCAACACCTAGCAAATCCCAGAGGGCAAACACATTCCAAAACACATATTATATGCACAACATAGGTAGGAGGCCATCGCTATTAGGTTGGAGGCCATTGCTATTCATTGCTATTGGGTTGGAGGCATTCGCTATTAGGTTGGAGGCCATTGCTATTAGGTTGGAGGCCATCGCTATTAGGTTGGAGGCCATCACTATTAGGTTGAAGGCCATCGCTATTAAGTTGGAGGCCATCGCTATTAGGTTGGAGGCCCTTGCTATTAGGTTGGAGGCCATTGCTATTAGGTTGGAGGCTATCGCTATTAGGTTGGAGGCCATTGCTATTAGGTTGGAGGCTATCGCCATGGGGTTGGAGGCTATCGCCATTAGGTTGGAGGCCATTGCTATTTGGTTGGAGGCTATTGCTAATAGGTTGGAGGCCATCGCTATTAGGTTGGAGGCTATCGCTATTAAGTTGGAGGCCATCGCTATTAGGTTGGAGGCCCTTGCTATTAGGTTGGAGGCCATTGCTATTAGGTTGGAGGCTATCGCTATTAGGTTGGAGGCCATTGCTATTAGGTTGGAGGCTATCGCCATGGGGTTGGAGGCTATCGCCATTAGGTTGGAGGCCATTGCTATTTGGTTGGAGGCTATTGCTAATAGGTTGGAGGCCATCGCTATTAGGTTGGAGGCTATCGCTATTAAGTTGGAGGCCATCGCTATTAGGTTGGAGGCCCTTGCTATTAGGTTGGAGGCCATTGCTATTAGGTTGGAGGCTATCGCTATTAGGTTGGAGGCCATTGCTATTAGGTTGGAGGCTATCGCCATGGGGTTGGAGGCTATCGCCATTAGGTTGGAGGCCATTGCTATTTGGTTGGAGGCTATTGCTAATAGGTTGGAGGCCATCGCTATTAGGTTGGAGGCTATCGCTATTAAGTTGGAGGCCATCGCTATTAGGTTGGAGGCCCTTGCTATTAGGTTGGAGGCCATTGCTATTAGGTTGGAGGCTATCGCTATTAGGTTGGAGGCCATTGCTATTAGGTTGGAGGCTATCGCCATGGGGTTGGAGGCTATCGCCATTAGGTTGGAGGCCATTGCTATTTGGTTGGAGGCTATTGCTAATAGGTTGGAGGCCATCGCTATTAGGTTGGAGGCTATCGCTATTAAGTTGGAGGCCATCGCTATTAGGTTGGAGGCCCTTGCTATTAGGTTGGAGGCCATTGCTATTAGGTTGGAGGCTATCGCTATTAGGTTGGAGGCCATTGCTATTAGGTTGGAGGCTATCGCCATGGGGTTGGAGGCTATCGCCATTAGGTTGGAGGCCATTGCTATTTGGTTGGAGGCTATTGCTAATAGGTTGGAGGCCATCGCTATTAGGTTGGAGGCTATCGCTATTAAGTTGGAGGCCATCGCTATTAGGTTGGAGGCCCTTGCTATTAGGTTGGAGGCCATTGCTATTAGGTTGGAGGCTATCGCTATTAGGTTGGAGGCCATTGCTATTAGGTTGGAGGCTATCGCCATGGGGTTGGAGGCTATCGCCATTAGGTTGGAGGCCATTGCTATTTGGTTGGAGGCTATTGCTAATAGGTTGGAGGCCATCGCTATTAGGTTGGAGGCTATCGCTATTAAGTTGGAGGCCATCGCTATTAGGTTGGAGGCCCTTGCTATTAGGTTGGAGGCCATTGCTATTAGGTTGGAGGCTATCGCTATTAGGTTGGAGGCCATTGCTATTAGGTTGGAGGCTATCGCCATGGGGTTGGAGGCTATCGCCATTAGGTTGGAGGCCATTGCTATTTGGTTGGAGGCTATTGCTAATAGGTTGGAGGCCATCGCTATTAGGTTGGAGGCTATCGCTATTAAGTTGGAGGCCATCGCTATTAGGTTGGAGGCCCTTGCTATTAGGTTGGAGGCCATTGCTATTAGGTTGGAGGCTATCGCTATTAGGTTGGAGGCCATTGCTATTAGGTTGGAGGCTATCGCCATGGGGTTGGAGGCTATCGCCATTAGGTTGGAGGCCATTGCTATTTGGTTGGAGGCTATTGCTAATAGGTTGGAGGCCATCGCTATTAGGTTGGAGGCTATCGCTATTAAGTTGGAGGCCATCGCTATTAGGTTGGAGGCCCTTGCTATTAGGTTGGAGGCCATTGCTATTAGGTTGGAGGCTATCGCTATTAGGTTGGAGGCCATTGCTATTAGGTTGGAGGCTATCGCCATGGGGTTGGAGGCTATCGCCATTAGGTTGGAGGCCATTGCTATTTGGTTGGAGGCTATTGCTAATAGGTTGGAGGCCATCGCTATTAGGTTGGAGGCTATCGCTATTAAGTTGGAGGCCATCGCTATTAGGTTGGAGGCCCTTGCTATTAGGTTGGAGGCCATTGCTATTAGGTTGGAGGCTATCGCTATTAGGTTGGAGGCCATTGCTATTAGGTTGGAGGCTATCGCCATGGGGTTGGAGGCTATCGCCATTAGGTTGGAGGCCATTGCTATTTGGTTGGAGGCTATTGCTAATAGGTTGGAGGCCATCGCTATTAGGTTGGAGGCTATCGCTATTAAGTTGGAGGCCATCGCTATTAGGTTGGAGGCCCTTGCTATTAGGTTGGAGGCCATTGCTATTAGGTTGGAGGCCATCGCTGTTAGGTTGGAGGCCATTGCTATTAGGTTGGAGGCTATTGCTATAAGGTTGGAGGCCATCATAGGCCCTCACCAAATTAAGTTGGAGGTTATCGCTATTAGGTTGGAGGCCATCGCTATTAGGTTGGAGGCTATCGCTATTAGGTTGGAGGCCATCACTGTTAGGTTAGAGGCCATTGCTACCATGTTGACCAAAAATGCACATCGCCACCCTATCTAGGCTCACCTATTTTTCCAACCCCCCCGACCCTATTTTTCCAACCTCCACCTATTTTTTCAACCCCCTGCCCTCTTTTTTCAACCCCCTAACCTATTTTTTCAACCCCCTAACCTATTTTTTCAACACATCAACCTATTTATTCAACCCCTCAAGGGTCCCCATGGTTTGGATAGTGCTTGTTGTATAATTTAGATGATTAGCATGTTGGCCAAAATGCTTGGCATCAAAGTCGCACAAAATCTCCCGCCATTCTCCCCCATGAATAGGGTCGTCCACATGCCGCTGCCTAATGTTTGGAGGCAAGAGGATCTTCAGTTTGTCCCATCCTTTCTTCCCGGGGTTCATGTCATACTCGACCTTGACAAGTTTGAAGGGAAAGGTGTTCAAGTCGACCTCTTTGCTTGCTCCCGGTGTCTGGGGCGGTGTGGGCTGATACGCCCGCACGTTTCCGAACGAGGATGTGTGGCCATTTTTCCAGTCCTGGCAGGAGAACTCTGTGGAGTGGCTGGGGGGCAAGTGGGTTGTTTGGGTGGTGGGTCACATCTTAAAGGGATCCAAACTCATAGTCCTACACTTTACAATTTTGGTGAAACAGTCACATGGCAACTAGGAAAGTCCTGAAGAAGCTCAAGCGCCAAAGACTTCTCCACAAATTGGGCTGTGGCGAGGCTCTTTGACAAACTGAGGGTTTTGAACTTGACGCCATCAATCCCTTTCCTGCAAACCTTTTCAACCCAGCAATCGTAGGGCGTCAAATTGATCAGGGCCAAGAGATCCGCCTTTCCATCAAGGTCTGTTTTGGACATGAGCGCTGACAGCAAACTCCTTGGCAGTTGCTCACCGCCCAGGAGTTGCACGCACTCCTGCACATCACTGAGGCTCCTGGCAGGGAAGATCTATGGGCCAATGTATGTGGGGTGATAAACAAACATCCATGATTGAACGGACCCATGACACCCAGCCTGATTCCCTCTGATGCGTGGGGGAGAGCGTCTTTCTCAGCAGTGGGGACGATATAAGAGCTCTCACTTTGCCAGCCAATCTCTCCCCTTGTAGCCCTGAAGGGAATGGGGTCAAATTTAACTGGACATGGCAGGTGTCACAACAAAGTGTCAGAAGTCTGAAAGTAGTGTGAACTTAACAAGGAACAAGCCTGTCCAAGAGAAGTTGTGATGGGCTGAAGATGTTGTTCTCCCGATCTTTGTTTGACCTTGCGTACATTTGGCTCATCAGACACATAATTATGGTTCTTTTTTAGTCTAAGTGCCAACAAATGACAACAAAGCATTCAATTTGGGTGGAGCAGCCTGTTGAACAAATCATGTCATGATTGTAATACCAAGTGGCAAGACAACCCAGGCATCAAACTGGAGTGGCACACGCTTCTTCGGATTGGGCAGGGCGCACCGCAGCGAGATCGATTGACTGAATAGGCTTTTCATGTCCATCTTGTCCTCCAAAGCCCTGTCCAAAGTGTCACAGCTCATGTGGGAAGGACCCTATAGTGTTCTTTGGCTCACTGTATCTTAGGTTGCAAAATGAATACGATCTAAATCACCACTGAGTTTGAAGGGATTCCCCCACTGCAGTCCTGATCTGCCCACGATAGCCCTGATGTTTCTCGGACACGAGGTATGGTGCGATGACGATGGCTGCAGAGGACTTGTAGCGAGCATGTAGGATGTGTGACAGCAGGTTGCTAAACTCATCAATTTCTGAGATAGCCATCCTCCCGCATTTCATCAGGTCGCACCACACCACCACACTTGTGTCTGGATGCCGTTGCAAAAACTGCAGGGGAGATGATGTGTTATTTGGAATATGATACTCTTCAAAACAACACCGCTTGGATGTTCAATTTACTGTGGATGACACTTAACACTTAAAACATCTTTAAGAAGTTAAAGCTTGTTTGTCCCCTCCGCACCCTTTCTGCCACATTCAATTGATCTTTGATGACTCCAGAGTGCACTGCCATGTTGGCGTTCATGTGGTCTGCCACAATGGCTGAACCGATGGCATTCTGAGCCTTGAGGTGTAATATCTTCTCTGTTTTCTTTGAATGTTCGTTCTGAGTGATGGCCTTGTA